ATCGGTTGTACTGATAGATTCAAAACTTACCACCATCACTTCATTCACAATACGTCTACTTGTGAACATAGATCTCCCCCAATGACTTCCAAAATCGGTCAGTTGGAACTTCTAACGTCCAACTTGGAAGTAATCAGCAACCAGCAACTCCCTATGACATATATTACTATCAGGGTGCTTACTCTTGAATCCAATTCCGATCGATCGATATTGACATTGTGAAATTTCATACTCTTGAGTTGTAACACTAACGCTTTTTGCATCCGTATTGCGTGGATATTTCATGAACTAAATGGTATTAAGTTTGGCTTTATATACCGTACCCTAAATGCATTGACATTGAGATTGGTTTCAAGAGTAAGCAGTTAAGTACCCAGATCGTCTATCTGCCTTGAAATTGTGTATGGCATTCAAAAAGACGAAACTTCTGAATAGGTATACTTCGAACATTCTCAATGCATGGAAAATTAGACACATAGAAAATTAAACAATCTAAATACAAATACCTCTATTGTTCCAAAAGAGTTTCCATTTATAGCATCCTTTGTATCCCACGATGCAATGACCTAACATGCTCCTTACGATATTATAGGTAGGTACTTATTAGTTCTTATCTTTGTTTCCAGGCGAATAATGGACGTTATTGTAATTGGCTGCGGAGCAGCGGGCATTGCAGCTATGAGGAAGCTGCATGACGCTGGTCTGCAAGTCCTCGGCCTTGAGGCTGGCGACAGAATCGGCGGGAGAATCTTAACTGTCGAATTTGGCGGGAAACCTATTGACATTGGAGCTGCTTGGTAAGTGCCTAATTAGAAATATTGATATTTCGATTATCCTAACAACCTTTTAATAATCAAAGATCTGTAAAATTAAGATTTCAGTTCTTGATTTCAACCGATAAGATATGAAAAATATTGACATCAAGAATTTACAGCTTATGGCATTCTTTGTGAATACCATTTTTGTCCAAAAACTGATATTAAAACTACACCCTGCTTCAGTTTAGGACTGTAATCATCAATTCTACGGCCAACAGAATTGTATTGTAATTCAATGCAACTACTTACAGGTGCCACGGCGAGAAAGACAACGTGGTCTTCGAAATCGCGAACCCAATGGGTCTTCTAGGCAGATCACCACCAGAAACCAACTGGTACCTCTTATCCAATGGCGAGCTGGTGCCAGGAGACAAAGCTGGTGACATCGTGAAGGCTTTGGACAACGAGTTGGAGACTGCTGACAAGCGAGTCAAGAAGTCTATCTCGCAGCATATCAGGGGCGCGTAAGTATCTACATAGAATTTTTAAAATGGACCTTTTGGGGATTTTGTTATGTACTAGTTACTAGTCAATGTGAAAACATTATCTTCTGAAAAATTTCACAAATTTTGTTCATATTTCAGAGCCAATACCAATGACACACTGAAGAAGGAACCTCAATTAGCAATTCCGTTCATAGAATGGTATGAGAGAAACAACCATGTGGGTGGACAGGACGACCAGAGGCAAGGGAAGTCTTTGCGCTGTCTTGAGGAGTTCTGGCTAAGCGAGGGTGATGCTTTCCTAACATGGAAGGGTAGAGGGTACAAGACCATTTTGGATGTGTTGATGGTGAGTACGCTATATCATAATCGTTACTAAAGTTAATCCAAATCTTAACTATTCCTTAATAAGCTTGAGGTTTCTTTGGCACAGATCATCAAAACTTATTATTTTGTGGTCACATCAAACACCAATTTCCATCAAACAAAACTAATGCAAACTTTTTTATTTTTCCAGAACAAATACCCTGATCCTTCCAAAGAGGTTCCTCTACAGATTCTCTTGAACAAGGAAGTGGAAAACATTCGATGGGGCGTCACCCAGCTGGGCATTGACCCTACTAACCCAATGGTGCAAGTCAAGTGCAAGGACGGAAGCCTATACCAGGCCAAGAGTGTAATTGTTACCATGTCCATTGGTGTTTTGCAGGAGAGGTGAGATACTTTTATAGCTTGTAAAGCACTTCGTCTTGCTAGATTTTTGAGGGGAGATAATCACCCAATGACCTGTCCTGTCTTGGATGAGACAAGATGGAGTGTCAGACTCTTACTGACTAAAAACTACTCCGTTCTTACTCTTGCTTTGAGCCCCGGTAACCCGTTAAGTAGTCTGCGGATCCAGGGCTTTACTAGTAGCTTTTAATTCGAGCTCTGTAGGTACTTAGCTGATCTAGTTACAATAAAGGATTTTGCAATCTCTTTTATATGATAAATTATCCACTTCAAGAAATTTCACCATAAAACATTTGTTTTTAATTGTCACTCACACAACTAATGTCCAATAAATTGGTCCTTTGGATCCAGAAACATCTCCGGTTAAGGGAAATAAAAGGAATGACATTACCAATGTCAGCCACCAATAGTCTACGCAACGACAACGACCTCTTTCGTAAAACATTTAAAACAAAAATAGGTTCCTGCACTTACCATCGTTTCTTGATTTATCATCCATTAGGCGTTAAGCGCTATTTCAGTTAACACTTCTAAGTAAACGAAATTAACGTCAGTACAGGGACGGACTGTCTATTTTTGGCGCGCTGGGCCCTTCCAAATTGAACTGACCGATTGTGTTTGATTTACATTTGAATTGGACGATATTAAATATCTTTATTCAAATTGAAATTCAATATGTTTTAATTCATAATAATTACAACTGAGAGTATATACGACAATTCTTTTTAGTTTAGAGTATCATGGTAGACAGACAGAGAAGTGTAAAAATCGATTACAAAAGTTGATACCTTATAATCATGAGGCCCGTTATACCATTGGTGCCCCGAATGAAGATTCGGCCCTGGTCTATAATGTAGAGCGTCATAACAGTTTAATGTTTGCGGGCTAGACATATTTCCGTTGTACATCTATTTATAGGTCATTCAACAGATGTTTTAGTACCAGTTACAATGTGAAACATAGTTACACAAATGAAGTATTTTCAAAAAATGTTAGAAAACTCTTGGACAGCAAATCTAAATAAAAATAAGTTCATACATTAGTATTACCATATTATAAGAATCATAAGAAATTTAAAATCGTATTTTTTCACAGACACGAAACCCTATTCTACCCACAACTGCCATCATCAAAAGTGAACACAATCCAAAACATGACTATGACAGTTCTGGACAAGATCTACGTAGAATATGAAAAGCCATGGTGGCCAAAAACTCCTTCAAAGTTCTCTCTACTATGGCTAGATGAAGATAAGGCTCAATTTGGAGAAAATGAGAAATGGATCACAGAGATTTATGGTTTCTGGACTGTAGATTCCCATCCGAATGTCCTATTGACATGGATCCATGGAAACGGTGCTGTGCAGATGGAGAAGTTAAGCGCCGAAGAAGTTCGTGCTGGTGTCCAGAAGCTTTTGGATGTTGTTGTCAAGAAACAATTCGATGTATCGCCTATTAAGGACATTTTGAGGTAAGCGCGCATATTTTACGGTATGATATTTTTTTTAAAAAAAAGGGTGTGTCGTTCTGTTACACTGTTGGCGCCTTTTACATAGAGGAGTTTGATAGATAAATAAAAGAAAATAATGAAACTATAAACTGTAACATATACATTACAGTTGTAATTAAAATTTTAAATATCTCTTCAACAATTCTTACAAACAAGTCCTATCAAACAATCAAAAAGTTCTACCTAAAATGTACTTTATAATGTATTCAAATAGCACCCACCATATACTACATATATTTTCTACTTATAGGACACAATGGGCCATCAATCCATTAGCAAGAGGAACCTACGCTTACCGTACTGTTGCCTTGGAAGAGAGTGATGAAGAAGGAGGCGCCATCGTTCTATCAGAACCTCTCTGCCATCCGAACAAGTTCCCAGTAGTCTGCTTCGCGGGAGAAGCCACGTCCCACCATAGACACTGGGATGTCCACGGAGCCGTAGAGTCTGGATTCAGAGAGGCTGACCGATTGATCGAAACTTTCAAGGAGTTTGGATTTAAGTAATTATTCGTTTATGGATTTTCGAAGATAGTTTTGCACATTCTTTTTTTACCCTTGTTAAGTGGTTAAGTGCAAAATTATCTTCAGACAATATTATATGCAAACATATTAATGTTTTATATGCTTTTTTGTTAAAATAAAATGCAAAATAGAGAAAATATAGTTTTATTTGAATATTGCATTCCATAAAATTGTTCTGACAAATCATTTTTATAACACATTCAACGTTAACATTCATAATCACATTATAAGCAAATAGTCAAACACCTTATCAGGTCAAAGGGTCAAAAAGTATCTATAGCTAACATCACTAAATAAGTACTTATGCACATAAAACAAAAAATAATAATCAAAAAGATATAATCTATAACTAAAATATACAAGTCATCTTATCTATTGCATATTATAACTACTCTAATACAGTTTTATTAAATTCTTGAGGATATTACTTGGGCTCTTTCGCGGTGTCAGTAAGGTTACCGAAGCTACCGGTTACCCCATTCCCGATCCCCATATACCCAATCCCCATCAGCCAGCAATGGATGGGCTGATGGTTAATATGATGATATTATTTTCATCACTTTGAATTCATTCTGCACTCAGACTGGGTCTGTAACTGGCCAGACATTACCAGGCACATAAAAATAACACGACCTTTCTACTTGACCTCGGGGCTCCGGGCCGTTGCAACTTGGGGCCCGTCTATCCAGAGTCCGGCCCTGTACTACTAAAACCACACAACGTCATAATTATTTTATCATAAGCGTATCGTCACAATTATCAATTATATAACAATAAACATTTCATACAACATGTGAAAAGGCAAATATTGCTTATAACACTAATTAAATTATTATTTACTAGCGACCCGCCCCGGCTTCGCACGGGTGCAATATGTATATACATACAAACCTTCCTTAAGAATCACTCTATCTATTAAAAAAAACCGCATCAAAATCCGTTGCGTAGTTTTAAAGATCTAATCATACATACGGACATACAGCGAAAGCGACTTTGTTTTATACTATGTATTGATTATCAATTATATAACAATAAACATTTCATACAACATGTGAAAAGGCAAATATTGCTTATAACACTAATTAATTTATTATTTATGTTTAACAGCTCCATCGCGACTGTTTGACTAAGTAACTTAACTATTTTCAAACCACGTTAGGGGCTCATATTCAAGAGCAATATTGCTTATCACACGATGCAATGAACGACGCGCTGCCATCTGAAATATAAGTCCTTAGCGTGGCTTGAAACTATAGTCGACATACTAAGGGCCGATTTTACAGTCATCAGTTAATTCTTTACTATAGAACAAAATTGGCAGTTGACAGTTTTTAGTTTAAAGGAATTGTCAAAAATTTAAACTTATTCCTCAATTAAAATTTATCTGAGCATTGAAAAATAGGCCCTAAGAGGAACACGACACGACTTAACAGTCGAAGTGCAGGGGTAGGAACGAGGTGGCTTAGTCAATAAGAGTCTGACACTCCCTCCCGCCTCACCCAGGCGGGAGAAATCATTGGATGACTTCCCCCTCAGAAAAAAAAACTGACAGCAACCATGTAGTGAGAGATACATAGATGGCATGCTCTTTATGACCGATTCCAAAGTCATATCGAATTAAAATTTATATAATATATTAGAAAATATAATACCTCATGAACTTCCAAAATAGCGTAAATACATGGACGTCCCAGGACGTTCATAACAAGTTATAGAGCAGTACATAGACTGACAAACGTTAGAGTTGACCTCTTAAATCGTGTCGACTATAGTCGAGTTACCTGATCAAAATGTTAAGCGTGTAATTCGTTATGAACATAAATTATCATGTCTCTAAAAATAGATACAATATCATACCTCCTTCTCCAGCTTCGGAATGACAGAATTAATTAACTCACTACTGATGATGTTCCCTTCTTCATCAACATCGCACATCATAATCTCTACATTGTCATCACGGATCGGTTTTGTATCAACTTCCATGTCATCATGATCGTTGTCCTTTTTAATGTCATCATTCTTCAATGTGATCTCGAAACTTCTTGGTGTAGTTGCCGTGGCATTGGCAACTTGTCTTAACTTAAATTGTATGTTAGTTAGGACTATTTTCTTCGGACTTGTGTAGCCATCCATAATCTTCTTTGATACTTCTAACGATTCGTAGCGTGTTGTAGTTAGTCTGTACAGTCCATCTTCGCATAGTTGGTATCTGGAAATTATACATATAAATAACTAGCTACTTCCTCGCGGTTTCACACGCTCTGCTCAGCTCCTATCGGTCGTAGCGTGATGTTTTATAGCCTATAGCCATCCTCGATAAATGCGCTATCCAACACAAAAAGAATTATTCAAATCAGACCTGTAGTTACGGAGTTTAGCGCGTTCAAACAAACAAACAAAAAAACACTCTTCCGCTTTATATAATAAGTATAAGATTATTATAAGACATAGACATAGTGTCGGTCGTAGAAAAGGTTAACGTGAGTTGCCTAATCTACTCTTTCTGCGGTCGTCAAAGCCGACTAAGGGACTATGGATTTGTAGTTTAAAAACAAACTACAAAATTGTTATGCGTGGAGATAGCGAACCTCTATTTTGTAAAGTAGGCCTTAGGCCATAGTCCTACAGTGGTTTCAGTTGTAGTCTCTTTTTGTGCCTTTATGCTTAATTCATTCTGTCTCCTGCATAAATTCACAGAGGGAAGTGGAAACTATAGTTTTTTTTCTTCTCCTCTTATATATTTTCAGATTTATTTCATTGCGGGGACCAAGATAGTTATTCATGTCCCTAGGACTCGAAACTTGAAATGTCGCGTGAAAATTTTGATTCGTTTTATCTAAGTGTTGTTTTATTATACGACAAAATAAAAAATACGTGTCTAATATTTTTTTATTACCTAACTTACGGACTAATTAGATTTTTAATTTTCATACCCTGTCATAATCCCAATTACAGGTGGTAAAATGAATTTATATATTAACTCTCAAATCTACTAAATAGATATCAATTTTTAATATCTTTACGTCAGTTATTCTATTCTTGCTTTCAATCAATTCAATATATTCTAATATACTTATATTCCTTATTACTGATATATAAAGTTGAAAAGTTTAATTGTTTAAACACACTTATCTTTAAAGTTATTGGTCCAATTTAAATAAATATTTTTGTTCGCAACAATAAATGCACTGCCTAATTGATAGTGCATTATTGTTGCAGGCTATAATTTTGTATTTTTTTTGTATCTGCGTGCGTGCCTACTGTCGAATAAATGATTTTTCTTTCTTTCTTTCTTTCTATAGGCTATAAAACATCACGCTATGATTAATAGGAGCCGAGCAGCATAAAATAATATAAAACCTCACCTAAATCTGCTATGACCAAAGGACCACTGCGCACCATGCTCCTTCACCAAGTGCATAGTCAATGCGTTCCCTTTAGTAAATATTTTCATATTCTTCTCCGGACACATGTGACATACATATTTCCTATCAGATCTCCTCACTTTTCTTTCCTTACTATCCGAATCAGATTCAGAATCTCCATCTATGTCAGAAGATATTTCTTTATCAGAAGTCTCTTCAGACTTGATCTTCTTTGATCTCAGTTTCTTCTTTTTCTTCTTATGTTGTGTTTTCACGTGTTGGCGGAGGTCCCATCTTCTTATTGCTCTGTGGAATTGTTATAATGTAAGTTGGTATATACATATTTCAAGCGACTTAAAAAAAGGACTTTCTATTTCCAACACCTGCTTCTTTTAGTTTTTTAACACGGGTCTAGTTTTAATATATAGTACATAACATCGCGCCTTTTAGTAGCGCAGTAAGGTAAGGTAGTAAGTAAGATTCGATTCCGGGTTCGGCTCGCAGCGCAAGTAGCAACACCGATGCGAGCGCCAACGGTAGCCAGTGCAATTAACTAAAAATCACGGGTTACTCAATACTAGTTTCGAACCACAGAGGGGTTCTTCCTCATGAGCAGCGTGCGCGGTCGTGGCGACGTCGCGCAGCCTACTGGCTAGCGTTGGCGCTCGCATCGTTCGCATCGTGGTTGGCGAGCGCGGCGGGCGAGGTGGCGGACATGTCGCACAGACTGCACGCGAACATAGTGATGTGGCCGCGAATACAAACACTTACTTATAAGGGCAATGGGGGCACGCGTGAGTGGCCGCCTCCCCCCGGGCCAGATGTCGGTAGCGCACGTGGTTGGCGAGCGCGGCGGGCGAGGTGGCGGACATGTCGCACAGACTGCACGCGAACATAGTGATGTGGCCGCGAATACAAACACTTACTTATAAGGGCAATGGGGGCACGCGTGAGTGGCCGCCTCCCCCCGGGCCAGATGTCGGTAGCGCACGTGGTTGGCGAGCGCGGCGGGCGAGGTGGCGGACATGTCGCACAGACTGCACGCGAACATAGTGATGTGGCCGCGAATACAAACACTTACTTATAAGGGCAATGGGGGCACGCGTGAGTGGCCGCCTCCCCCCGGGCCAGATGTCGGTAGCGCACGTGGTTGGCGAGCGCGGCGGGCGAGGTGGCGGACATGTCGCACAGACTGCACGCGAACATAGTGATGTGGCCGCGAATACAAACACTTACTTATAAGGGCAATGGGGGCACGCGTGAGTGGCCGCCTCCCCCCGGGCCAGATGTCGGTAGCGCACGTGGTTGGCGAGCGCGGCGGGCGAGGTGGCGGACATGTCGCACAGACTGCACGCGAACATAGTGATGTGGCCGCGAATACAAACACTTACTTATAAGGGCAATGGGGGCACGCGTGAGTGGCCGCCTCCCCCCGGGCCAGATGTCGGTAGCGCACGTGGTTGGCGAGCGCGGCGGGCGAGGTGGCGGACATGTCGCACAGACTGCACGCGAACATAGTGATGTGGCCGCGAATACAAACACTTACTTATAAGGGCAATGGGGGCACGCGTGAGTGGCCGCCTCCCCCCGGGCCAGATGTCGGTAGCGCACGTGGTTGGCGAGCGCGGCGGGCGAGGTGGCGGACATGTCGCACAGACTGCACGCGAACATAGTGATGTGGCCGCGAATACAAACACTTACTTATAAGGGCAATGGGGGCACGCGTGAGTGGCCGCCTCCCCCCGGGCCAGATGTCGGTAGCGCACGTGGTTGGCGAGCGCGGCGGGCGAGGTGGCGGACATGTCGCACAGACTGCACGCGAACATAGTGATGTGGCCGCGAATACAAACACTTACTTATAAGGGCAATGGGGGCACGCGTGAGTGGCCGCCTCCCCCCGGGCCAGATGTCGGTAGCGCACGTGGTTGGCGAGCGCGGCGGGCGAGGTGGCGGACATGTCGCACAGACTGCACGCGAACATACTGATGTGTCCGCGCGTGTGCTCGCCCAGTAAGTACTCGGTGGCGCACCGCGTGCCGCACACCGAGCAAACGTATATCGAATTTTGCGTCACATTCTGGAATCCAAAAATTGACTTTATTACAATGTCTTAAAATTGACTACTTAATGATGGTCGTCGTCGCGTTTGGACATCTGGAACACCAAGGCGTTACAAAAGCGTTACCGGCCTTTTGAGAATTGGAAATTTAAGGATTGTGGAGGATTCGGGGATTGAGAAGACTGGGGAGGGGCGGTAATTGGACGAAACACAACGCAAGCGTTGCTTCATGTCGGTTTTCTTTGAGGCCGTGGTATAACTCCGGTCGAGCAGGCCAATTCGTTGTATCTCCCACACTTAGATCTACCACAATGTATATGTATGCAGTATTTTATACTGCCGGCTCCACTGGAGTGATACTACGGCCTCACAGAAAACCGGAGCGTTGTATTTAGCCATGTGAGTGAGGTTACCAGAGGTCCACTTGTAACACCTCAGGTGTTGTGGGACTCCATGGAAAGCTCCGATTGCTTACCATAAGCCTGCTGGTTAGCTACCTTAACCCATAAAAAAACTATACAAATTACCTGTCTCCGCAAATGATCAGTAAGCTTCCTATTATTAGCAAAATGGTGTCCGCAGTGGTAGCAAGCAATCAGTCGCTCCCCTGTGTGACTCCGTACATGTGGGATGAGCATTGCTTTTCGAGGAAACTTCGCTCCACAACCAGCCCAAGAACATATGTAGTCTTCAGAGTAATTCGCATGGAGATTCACATGATCTATGAACGTCTGGAAATAATTAAGATGGGAGTTATTTAGTGAAAAATATGTTTTATAATAGCTATCACGAAATATAATGATAATATGTTTTTATAAAAATCGCGGGTTACTCACGTGAAAAGTATTACTAGTTTTGAACCACAGATGGGTCTTGAGGAGCCTACTTAGACCGCCGCGAGCGCGCTCCTGCTCATGAAGAAGAACCCCTCTGTGGTTCGAAACTAGTTGAGCGTATTTCAGTATTTTCACGTGAGTAACCCGATTTTTGGGTAATTTAGTAAAACATAATAGAGAAGACTCGATCAAACATAATTATCGTAAAGTACCTAATAAGTAAAGGAGGTTGAACAGATATACATCCTTAATATTTTGTTATTTAACAACATACATAACACTAATGGTCTAATGGAGGATTGTAAGTATAACTCGTTGGCAGAGTGGTCGTAAGTGCGGCTCGGGTCCCGGGTTATGTAAAGTATTACTGGGATTTAAGAATAAAATCTCAGTAGTAGCATGGAGTCTGGAATTGTGCCTGGTATATGGCAATAGGCTCACCCCAGTGAAAGGTGGATGTTACATTGTACAGTGGCATTATGTGTCACAATGTGCATCTCTGCATCAGTGGTCTCGAACCTACCGATTTTTCGGTATTTCTACCGATATGGGCTCTGTTCTACCGAAATACCGAAATATAAAGATTTTTCTACGATTTTACAGTATACATGGAAATTCTCCCGATTTTTCTACCGATTTTACACTTTTAAGTTGGCAACCCTTTTTATTTATGTTTAATGTTACGGGGAAGCCCTCAATAGTCTGGACCTAGTGCAGAATGTAGTTCATATATTTTGGGGAATACCGTTGACACCCTTGTGTCCTACAATTCGATGTTATAAGGGGCTTCCCTTGTTATAAGGGGGTTATATTATTTTTTTTCTACTTATCGGTTTATAGAAGCAGTGGATATAATTATACCCTAATCGCTACTAGACATACTAGATATACCTACGTAATTTTAATTCTTTATTTTTAATTTCAGTTGAAATAAGATTAGCCTCGTTTGTTGCTGAACACAATCTACCATTCACTATTATGGAGCACCTACCGCAGTTGATGCAAGCCGTTTGTCCTGATTCAAAAATAGCAAAAGAAATAAAATGCTCTTCAGCCAAAACTCATGACATAATTCATCATATTATAGGTAAAGAAAGTTTTTATTATGATTGTTACAAATTAGTCTGTAAGTTTTTTTTAATAAATAAACGAATTTTTTTGAATATTGTATTTTTTTTTGTCAAATACCGATTTTGGGTACAAATATACCGATTTTAGCTGGCAATTCTACCGATCTCGCTCTATGACGTTCGAGACCACTGCTCTGCATACCCCTTCGGGGATAAAAGGCTGGATATTATGTAAGAGTATAGGTATAACACAAAAACAATATAAAGTTACCTGTATCGAAGTAAATTTCATGTCACACTTAATCCACATACAAGTATAATCACTAACTTGTACCGGTATCTGATTTCGTTTGCTGGAGTCTTTCTTACAGCACTCCAGTTTGAGGGTCGTGCGGCCATTGAAGCCGATTGCCAGCAACTTGCCATGGTAAGCGTGGTAGTTCATGTGACGCACCATTTCATTGAAGTCCGATGTTTTATGCCCACACACATCCCAGAGGCAGACCAATTCAGCTGAAATAAGTATTTTTCGTTTGAAATTAATTCTTGTATTATCATGTTGAAACCTACCAACGGCAAGTACCAATCTGACTTTTTCCGAGTTATATGTACTTTCTAAGATTATCTAGACACCACTGACAGACGGTGAAGGAAAACATCGTGAGGAAACCTGGGCTAATAATTCCTAATTATAAGTTTGAAAGAGCAAGTGTGGTGATTATTGCTCAAACCTTCTCCGTGTGAGAAGAGGCTTTGCTGAGCAGTGGGCATTTATAGGCTGTTGATGAATTAATTCTTTTATTAACCGCTTGAATGTCAGTATATAAGACAATAGAAAACACATTTGTCCCACATAGGTCTTGAATAACGTACCACGGGTTAATGCTTTAACCCTTTGAGTACCGTCATTATAGACACAATTGGTTGCGGTCACAGGTGTCCTCGCGGTGTTTGACAGTTTAAGTTCATTTTACTTTGAGGAATATTGACAAGGTTAGATTCTATGCTAGAATTTGTATATCACACTAATATTATAAATGTAAAAGTTTCTTTGTTTGGATGTTTGTGCGTCAATCACGCTGAAACTACTGAACATATTCTGATTAAATTTGGTATACAGGTAGGGTATGGTACTAGGTGATTAGGATACTTTCTATCCCGATTAAATGCTCCTATGGGATAAAACAGAAATCATATTGTATGCGGATGAAATTGCGGGCAACAGCTAGTAAATATAAATATTAAAATGTAATTTATATAAATAAATGAATTGTCGTTCGTTAGTATCGCTAAAACTCGAGAACGGCTGAACCAATTCAGCTAATTTTGGCCTTGAAATGTTCGTGGAAGTCCAGGGAAGGATTAAAAGGTGAAAAAAAAATTTTTGAAGCGGTACGAAGTTTGCCAGGTCAGCTAGTAAAATATAAATAGTTAGCATAATGTAAGAAGTATAGATGAGCAGTCTTGATTCTCTTCTTGGTGTAGATACAAAAGCTTTATACAGATGAGGGAAGTGACATAAAAATTAAACAGGAAAAAATAGAGAGAAAACTGGTTCTGAAATCAAAAGGCAAATCTTTAAAAATTCGTGCCATAGACCAAGCGACTTTGTACTAAAAACATTAACTCGTCGAGTACCGTCATTATAGACACAATTATAGAACAATAGGTTGCGGTCACCGGTGACCGCACGGTGTTTGACAGTTTGAAAGTGTTTTACTATATTTTTTTTTTTTTTTTATGGCATAAGCCGGTAAACGAGCAGACGGATCACCTGATGGTAAGCAATCGGCGTCGCCCATGGACACCTGGAACACCAGAGGCGTTACAAGTGCGTCACCGGCTTTTTGGGGATTAGGAGTTTGAGGTTCGTTGGGGATTCAGGGATTGGGGAGATTGAGGAAGGGGAAGGTAATTGGGCCTCCGGTAACCTCACTCACACGACGAAACACAACGCAAGCGTTGTTTCACGTCGGTTTTCTGTGAGGCCGTGGTATCACTCCGGTCGAGCCGGCCCATTCGTGCCGAAGCATGGCTCTCCCACACTGTATATCACCTATCATTTAAAAAAAGCGCGAAAGGAACTACAAACTCACAAGAATTGGATTGACAGCTTGCATAACCTAGGGAGAATAACCCAGCACAGAAACGAAATCCTTACAATAGCTACCGAATATTACAAAAATTTATATGACACTCCAACAACGCCGAGCAGAGGTCACCAGACAACCCAAGAAAATATAGCTGTACTATATCTCACCGCTAGATTCCTTCTCTATAACATGCATGTCCGTAGCATGTTTTCTAACATGTTTCTGGTAAACCTCATAGTCCGTAAATGTCTTCTTACATGTTGGCCATTCACATTCCATTTGCAAGTTGGAAACACGGAGTCTGTAGCGAGTCTGGAAATAAACACATTTTTTTAAATACACTGATTCCATTAAATAATAAAATCTATCTACTGTGTTTGTTAATACACCCATAACATGAAGGAAAATATTAGTGTGTGCTTAAAAAAGGAACACAGGAAACAGATAACTGTTTGTTATCCTTTTTTAAGCACACACATGAATCAATCACAATACATTTATTAACTCGTCGAGTACCGGTTTTGCAGACACAATTATAAACAATAGGTTGCGGTCACCGGTGACCGCTTGGTGTTTGACAGTTTAATATATTGATATCAAAAATTTGTTCTTACTAAAGTAGTCTCTAAACATCGGAAATAAGGTCTATAATCGAGTTAGTGGAGAGCGGTTCTGGTTACCGCTTGGGGATTGAGCAGTTAATGAACCAATGAGACGCAGCTACATTATAACAGCAAAACTTTTCAACAACCATACAAAATACATTAGTCAGGCACTGAATTAGTACAACTATTAACGGGAAATTCATGCCAAATAGTTAGGTGTAGTAGATTCTTACATTTATCACAACCTAGCTAAACTAAATCAATAACCACTTACATAGAGCTACCTATATTGATAAATATCTAAACCATAAAATAAGTAAACGGTAGATTTTTAAATATAGAAACTCTCACAGAATAACTTACCACTGGTTTAGGTTCTAAAACCGGTTCGTTGATGCCACTAGGCACGGTCGCATCGTCCTCGGCCACAGCCAGCAAAAAGTTCTTTCTTGCAGCATGGGTTTGTATAATAAACTGTATATCATTCTTATTTCCTAAGGATAACTTCTCTGTGCCTTCATTATTCTGTTGCTGCAACCATTCCATACATCGACGAACTTTGTTTTTGTCGTCTTTACTATTGCCAGATTTCTCACCCATCTTTGATGTTTTGGAGGAATCTTAATACGGCATAGATTCACTTATATTTTTCACTAACTTTTGCCACGATCATCATTTTAGATACTCTAAGACCATCAGTTGAGGTTCTCTTCTCTAGAAATACATCATTGATGTAATCACATTTTAACCTTTGTCATTAATCATAATTAAGAGAAATTGAAGATGGATAAAAGAATTTAAGGAGCAAGCAATAATATGTCTTGATTTTTTCAATAAAAATATAATAACATGCGATTTTCATAGAGTAATGCGTCTTTTAACAAATTTTTATACGAAATTTTTACGAACTTTCTGTTATTTTTAATGACATTGACAGCTACATCAAAACACAGCTGACAGGAAACAGCGCGGGAACGGAACTTCATGTCGTGTCGTGTTTCGGGTACCTAGTGTAATCACGTCTATCTATAATAGTATACGATTAGTTGATTAGTCGATTAATCGGAACGAAGAGAAAGTTTGAGGTGCTAAATTTCGTCTACAGTTTGCATACATTCTAGGTTGATTTTAATGGCTATCACCAATAATCTATATTTTAGCAAAGGAACCTATTTACTTAACATAATGAAAGATAACCAGAAAAAAACTTGTTTGGTAAGTTTTCTGTTATCGTTAATGTTCGTTTTTAAAGACAGTATTGCCATACAATTTTAATTGTTGGTATGAAACGCGATAATGAAAATAATTTAGTTTTTAAAGACCTAAGTGAAAAACCTAATTTCATTCTCTTCTCTATGTTCCAACTAATTTTCTTTCATTTTAAATGCATAAAACATTAGTTTAAAATATTAAAAATAATTTGGCACTCCGATTCTAACATAAACAGTTCATCGTACTTGACATTCTTGACAGGTCAAATCAATTTTAGTAAAATAAAAAACGTGCGAGACGAGACGAACGCGGTGTGGTCAAGTGCGGTGCGTATTTACAGCACAGCGCGGCGGGTCCCCACGTTGCCGCTGGTGTCTCTTATCGGTAATTAGACACACATAAATAGTTCATCTTGTTATTCCCGTCACATATATCGCGAGTGACGGTCGAAGAGTCATATCGGTCCTGTGCTGATGAAATCAACCGTAACTATCCAAGAAGTAGTGAATAAATTAGATCACTTAACTTTACCACTAACCACCAGAATGCCTAACATCAAAGTGTTCAGCGGGAGCTCCCACCCAGACCTGGCGCAGAAAATCGTGGATCGCTTGGGGATCGATCTAGGAAAGGTAGTAACCAAGAAGTTTAGCAACATGGAAACATGCGTGGAAATTGGTGAATCCGTACGTGGCGAGGATGTTTACATTGTGCAGAGTGGTAGCGGCGAGATTAACGACAATCTCATGGAGCTACTGATCATGATCAACGCTTGTAAGATTGCATCTGCATCTCGAGTGACAGCCGTGATTCCGTGCTTCCCGTACGCGCGACAAGACAAAAAAGACAAGAGTCGAGCGCCGATTACTGCAAAACTGGTTGCCAACATCCTGTCAGTGTCTGGGGCCGACCACATCATCACAATGGACCTCCATGCGTCGCAAATTCAAGGATTCTTTGACATTCCTGTGGATAACCTCTTTGCTGAGCCTGCTGTTTTGAAGTGGATCAAAGAAAATATTCCTGACTGGAAGACCAGTATTGTGGTGTCACCTGATGCTGGAGGAGCCAAGAGAGTCACATCTATTGCTGACAGGCTGAATGTAGAGTTTGCTTTGATTCACAAAGAGAGGAAAAAGGCAAATGAGGTTGCTTCAATGGTACTTGTTGGTGACGTGAAGGACCGGACAGCCATCCTGGTAGACGACATGGCAGACACTTGTGGAACAATCTGTCATGCTGCAGAGAAACTCATAGAAGCTGGAGCCATCAAGGTGTATGCTATACTCACTCATGGTATTTTCTCTGGACCTGCCATCTCAAGGATCAACAATGCATGTTTAGAAGCTGTTGTCGTCACAAACACAATTCCGCAAGAGAGGCACATGCAGGAGTGTCCCAAAATCCAGTGTATTGATGTGTCTATGATGCTTGCGGAGGCTGTGAGACGTACACACAACGGAGAATCTGTATCCTACCTATTTTCTAATGTTCCATATTAGTATAATTTTCTTCACTTTACATAAATATGATATTTTACTATAATATAGGTGAGTGTTATGATTCGTATCATAAAATAAAATGGCATGTCACTCGTAACATTACTGTTATTGGCTTGAGTATAACTTACTTAGTGTTACATTTATATTTGTTATGAAAAAAAAATGTTAGTTTACTATGAAGTATGAAGTGGAGAAAGATTTTTGTTGGAGCTCAGTTCACTGAGCTTTGTTCCCTTTGGGATTACGTGAGGTGATAAACAAGTAAGTGATTAATTTGTTAAGAAGTTAAAATGTATTATTTAGAGGAAAACCAGATGTATGAAAATACAACCAATCTTTGTTTTCTACAAAACAGCTCTTCTTCATTTTTGAGTGGAAAGCATGTAAAGTTGTGTCTTAATCTTTCAAAATGCCATTTCAAACGTATCATGATGAATTTTGGAACTTGGATATATTTTTATCTGCCAGTTAAAACTTCATTCCATGTACTCCATTATCATTTATTTGGAAACTAGGTCTGCATTTGTAATTTTTAGCTGTTAACCTACATCCAACGAACCTCACCAACTGTTACTAGAAAAAATCAATTGTTAGTTTATATAATAAAAGACATTTTAGTTGTTAAACATATGTCTATTGTATCTGTAAGTCCAGTTAGGATGTTAATGTTTATCTGTTCTAATTTCGTCCTTTTAACCATGTTAAAATTGTTCTTGAAATTGAGATAAAAAATATATGAATAAGGCTCATTTTCGGTCTTTCGTAAATGGCCTAATATGTTTGTAAAATTGTTTAAACTCAAACACCGAGCAGTCACCGGTGACCGCAACCTATTGTTCTTTAATTGTGTCTATATAATGACGGTACTGAATGAGTTAATTTAATTATAGAAACTAGGCAAGCATGATGCTGTATAAAATAACATTTTAGAGACAGCATTATCTTATCAAGTACATTGTTTTTATATTCTTTATCAAATTCATTATAAATAAATGAACTTTGATGATGTTTTTGATGAACTCATCTTTAATTTTTTGCCTGATCGCTGTGTAGTGTGCAAGATTTATAATGTGCCTAAACAAGTAGAGCTTAGAATTGAATTTGGTGTAAAGCATTGTGAAATGAATAGTGTAATGTAACATCCTGCTGTTTATTTTTATTAATTTTTGTTTTCTTTTTCTTCTAGTATAAGTTGTTTGTGTTACAACTATCTAGAAATAAAATGTATTAAGTTTTACCCTTTTTCAGATAAGTTCATAATAAAAACAGTTTTTAATTGGCATTCTATCTTAATAAATGCGATGTATAATTATTCAGGGCTATTATTGTAATTGGCATATCTGATTGATGTATAGAAAAGAAAAACATTGCCTCTGTATATTTTTTTCTAAATTTATATAAAAGAATTATGTATATTTGGTTCTGATACCTATTATTAAGGTAATAAAAAAGGATTTAACTAAAGCATTATTTTATTATTCATTACATAGTTATTACAAATGTCATAACATAACATTTTTCCTGTAAATGACAATTTTCTTTGCCTATTCCGAAATTCGCCTAGCTTCACTGACAGATAGACTGACAGATTATTATTTATTTTATATTTTGTTGACGTTTCAAAAGCACCAAATTATGGTTTAATAGAATTATATGCTTTTGAGTTTGACTAATTCGATAGCTTATTGTCGTACAATATCATACTAAAATGTTCTCCATAATATCCATATAACATGACTAGGTAATTGCACTGAAAAACAAAAATTGTCTACTCAACAATTAGTCAAAACAAATGCGTAATTTAATTTCTCTAATAACGACCCACGCGCCAAGAATCGTCGGACTTTGTCTCATGAATTATGATGACGTCACATCAAATACGAGTTTTTTTTTATAAGCAGTTTAAATACGGAATTCGGCGGTTGTGAATAAAATTGTTGCTACGGTCGAAAATGTTTCTGTTCTGCAATTTTAAACCTTACAGACAAGGGATTGGAGGAAAATAGAGATCGATTCGATTACACGTAATGTTATGTCACAGTCTCACAGTACTATTGTTCTAAATTCGGATTCATTCATAAACAAACGTAATTCGTGACCGCCAGTTAGCCTTGCAAGTTATGACGTCGTGGCTTGAAGACATTGCTATCGCCTCCTGACTTATCTTACATCATTTTCCTGGAGTAATGAGGGTACTTTGAACCACTAACTACAGAATTACAAAACACTGCGGCTTACCTAAGTAAGTAAAAAGTATATGTGCCGATACAAAAAACGAAGACGGAATTTAGACTTCTTTCGGAGTGTACCTAAATTACCTACATAAATGTAAGTACAACAATAATAATTATTATTATTATACCACTATTTGCCCGATACCGTTACAATTCTAGATTATGATGCGTTAAGTTTACAGACCAATAAAGCTTTCACGAAACGAGAATTTTTTCTTGCCTTTTACTAAAAGCATTGTTAGAAAAGGTGTAGCAAAGAATAGCCATTTTATTGCTCACAATAAGTATTCGCTCGCCCCCTATTGCTTAGTCAAAAAACCATAGTCCCAATCTTTATGTTTCCTGGAGTCGTTTGCGTTTTTTTTTCAACCCCGAACAAGTGGGAAAAGGTTTGTTGGGTCTTTGGCAATGGCGTGAGGCTGTAACAAAGCAGGCAAAATACCACGGGACTCTTACTATCTTATCTAAGGTCCCAACAGGGTTCAAACTGACCGACTTAAAAAAAATTGCACGGTGAAGTGATCGATACGAAATGTCACTAGGTTTGGTATCCTAACACATCATTTATTCTGCAGAAAATCATCAATTTATTTTGATTGCAGAGATTTGACACTGTATCCGAAGGTTTGCTAGGATTTCTTATTTATTTGCACGCGAAGTTAAGTAAGTAATGTAATGTCATCTCAATGCCGTACAATGCCCTAGAAAACTTCAACTCAGTGGCGTAGCGTGCCTTGGGGGGGCCCCGTATAAAAATTAGTTTAGGGGCCCTTGAACGATAAACATTTCTCACAACAGATTTTTTTTTACATAAAATACTTATAATTTGTGTGAAAACCGAAAATCTTAATTACTTTTATTTTTCTTAAGTGTCTGCCAACCTTTGAACGCATGCTATACGCGGGAAAAATCGTTTCTTTTGAGTTTTGCGATTACAGAAATAGAATAAAAATTGGGAAGTTTTTATTAATTTTTGCTTAGGCACGTTGGGGGCCCCTGTAGTCCGGGGGCCCCGTATAATTGATACGGCAGATACGGCGCTAACTACGCCCCTGCTTCAACTATCGTTAGTGAAACTGCTACGAAAGTAGGTTAACACTAAATGGTTCTTTAAATTCGGAGCAGATTTATAGAACACCGATACCAGGTTGGAATTTGAAGTCGATCTTAGTCTATTAGTCAAGTTCGAAAGGACCAGACTCCAGGCACACATCAATACTGCTGGAGTATGGCGCTGATCGCGATATTGGGAGCTCGTGCTCATCAGTCGCGATTGAAGCCACTAGACTGGACTAATGAGATAAATGCTAAAATATATTCATGTATTGTAGGAACCCGTTACTAAGTACTCGTACCAAATTAAATGTGAAATGTCTAGTAGATAACGATGTTAAGTTTTATTTTACACTACTTGAACTCATCTGCGGTCGATTTAAATAACTTCAATACATCTTAAATGACCTTCTTACATCACAGTACATGTTTAACAGTATCAATATGAAAACTGACCTTAAGGTCACGGGCCAATGATGTAAATTGTTTGTCAGTGGGTGCGTCTATCCGTCACAATATACACACAAGTGTAGATCTAGATTAGAAGCTATCTATATTGCACAATCGTGACAACAAAGATAAAGTTTATAAAACAAAATTAAAAGTATTCGTTATCTGTGCCCAATTAAAAAGTTGTAGTTTCTTTTCTATGTTAGTTTGTAAAAAAAAAATAAAGTGGTATCAGCATTTTGTTATTCTTTTAAAATGCTTGTGACGAGTAAGCGCTTAATCGGTAGGTAGCTACCTACTATTACATAAATTATTTTTTTTTATCAATTAAGTACTTTGTATTTTTTCAGTGAAAGTAAAATACCTAGGTAACCTAGAGTTGTAGATACTGAGTCGATTGATTTGAATTGGCGGCACTCCTTTTAAGGATCTACCACAAGAAAGTAGCTATGTACTTACTTACTTAGTCATTGCGTTCTAAAATTCCATAGCATCCCATAATATTCAAAGATTACTTGGGTAATTACAATTTTAGTGATTTATAGTCGTAATAATGACATTAGATAAATAGAGGGAGGTACCTACAGTTACCCTTCTTACTGAAACGTGTGCCAGGCTCCCTTTGGTACAGAGGGCAGTACACTAAATTACACCAATCTAAAATGTTTCAAACACACTTTATGCTTTTGTTTTAAAGTTGTCAATCTATTGTAGAACTTTGGCAGCTAAATATAGCTTGATGAGCTACAATCTGCTTTTTGAAAGAACCTGCAGCATTAATTTGTTGTCTTCAGCGGCCAAGGTCATAGATATTGAATAAATGATATAAATAGGTAAATGCAAGGGCATACCGTGATTGTATGCAATTAAAATATTTGATACTTTGTATTTTCATTTTATTACCGATTGCATTGCTACATATACTTACCTAGTTTACTCAAAGCTTACTCAAAAAGACCCGCTTGGAATAACGCTTGAGTTGTGTTTCGTCGTGGGAGTGAGGTTACCGGAAGCCCAATTACCCCTCCCCCTCTTCTTTCCCCAATAGCTTAATCCCCAACAATCCTCAAATTCCTAATCCCAAAAGGCCGGTAACAAACTTGTAACGCCTCTGGTGTTCCAGGTGTCATTGTGCGACGCCGATTGCTTACCATCAGGAGATCCGTCTGCTCGTTTACCGGCTTATCCCATAAAGAAAAAAAAAGCATTTTACGTACTGATGCTCCCATCTGTAGAGGGGTAAAGTAACGGAGCCATAACATAACATCACGCCTTTTTATCCCCGAAGGGGTAGGCAGAAGTGCACATTACGGCACTTAATGCCACTGTACAATGTAACACCCACTTTTCACTATTTATGTTACGAGTCCCATGTAGAGGTAATAGGGGGTGAGCCTATTGCCATATACCGGGCACATTTCCAGACTCCGTGCTACTACTGAGATTTTTAAAAACCCAGTAATACTTTGCCCGACCCGGGAATCGAACCCGAGACCCCTTGCCCGGCAGTCGCACTTGCGACCACTCGGCCAACGAGGCAGTCA